CGTCAAAACAAGCCCCCTGAATAAGATCCTTTTTACATAAAAATCAAACTAATCGACTTACAAACTTTTTATTGCAAGTTTATATTGGTAACTGTTTGTTCAGTTTCTTCTTTTAAAAAAAAAAAAAATCCTGACCTTTGGGTCAGGAATTAAAATGCCGGTAGAGGAGACAATTTTATGTTTGGTCCATTGGGCTTGGACATCTTTTAATTGTCTGGCAAGTAATTTATGGGGTTTATCTCCTAATTCAAAGTTAAGAATATCGCTTGGATCCCAAATCTGATTGTATTGAAGTTTTAGTTTTAGAATAGAATTAGAGATATCCTCAGTATTAGTTTGGAGAAGTGACTCCTTTAATGTTGATAATTCTGACTCGATTTGGGACAGACGAGTTAATCTCGATCTACGAGCAGGGAAGTTGAGTGACAGCTGCATGCTGAATCATGGAACTTTCTTCTTTTCATTCATTTTAGCGTGTGCACCAAGTCTTAGTGATAACCAGTGTCAAGAGCAGACATGGGCAGTAACGTGTTACAAGTAACACTTTACTGTAATCCAATTACTTTTTTCAAGTAACAAGTAAAGTAAGAGATTACTATTGCAATAAAGTAATTAGATTACTACTACTAGAGAGTATGACCATTTAGCGTTTAATGTGTGGAAGTACTGACCTTACTTTGAGCCTGATTCTGTAAAAAGTGACAAAAACATTAGCATCCTGTACACTCTACTTGGGAGGAAAACTTCTTTCTACAGAGAAAAATTTAACTGCAAATGTGAGCAAACACATAGCATGCTGCCACGAGAATGTGAAATTCCCCGAGAAACCCCCGGATCCCCCCCCCGGGCAAATCTCCGACTGCTCCACTTCTTCTAAACAGGTGAAAATAGATTTAAGAACAACAGGACTTAGTGCCGCCGACTCTTTGATTTTATCTATTTTTTGCTGTGTTTTACTTGCATCTATTTGAAAGAGTGAGTGTAAACATAAATTTTTATTTTATTTTATATGCGGGAATATGCAGAAAATAGGTTTAAATGTTAAATAAATTTCGTCAAGTCAAAGACTGTCCATCCATCCAGCTTCTTCCACTAATCTGGGGTCAGGTTGTGGGGACCAGCAGCCTAAGTAGAGAAGCCCAGACCTCCCTCTGCCCAGACACCTCCTCCAGCTTGTACGGGGGAACACCAAGGCATTCCCAGGCAAGCCAAGAGATAAAATCTCTCCAGTGTGTCCTGGGCCTGCCCCGGGGCCTCCTCCTGGTGGGACATGCCCAGAACACCTCACCCAGGAGGTGCCCAGGAGGTATCCCATTCCAGCTGAGGAACATGGCCTCCACTTTGGAGGTGCTGATTCTTGTTCCCACCGCTTCATACTCGACTGCACTCGACTTCATCGGGTGAAGCCATCACCCGATGAAGCCAACAGAGGCACATCATCCACGAAAAGCAGAGATGAGATTCTGAGACCACCCAAGTGAAAGCCTTCCGCCACTTGGCTATGCCTAAAAATCCTGTCCATAAAGGAAACCCGAGGGACACGATCGAATGCTTTCTCCTGTACACCGTACACTGGTTAGGCAAAACTCCCATGAAACTTAATTATCTTTCAGAGGATAAAGAGCTGATAAAGTTTTGACTCAACAGTTTCAGTATTAACAGAGAAGATAGGGCGTTCCCTTGAGATGACTGTCATGGGCCTTTTTACTTTTAACTCTGAATGCTATTAGCACTTCATTGCAATAATGTATACTATGTATACTTTATTAATCCCCATAGGGAAATTAGTCATCTGCATTTAACCCATTCACTCAGTGAAGCAATGGGCATCCACCAGTCCAGCGCCCGGGGAGCAGTGTGTAGGGATGGTACCTTGCTCGGGGTACCTCAGGGTAGCCGTTCAGTGGATTCGAACCCCTGACCTTCCGATCATAGGGTGACCACTGCCCTGGATGATATACTCTGAATGACTACATACTTACAGCTAAATAGTGTCATATGCAAACCATCAATAGGGATTTGCTGGAGAATCTCATGCTCAAAGCACTGATAGATGTAAATTTGAAAAGTCCTTTTTCTATTATCAAGACTCAAACCAGTGCGGTGTTAACAGTAGAAAAGAAAGCAGACTTCATTCACTTTTATTGCCTACTCAATAAAAATAACAAATAAATATCAGGAACTGGTTTCAGCAGTTTTATTGTAGAAGGACATATAGTTAAAACCTTAACATGCAACATAAAGAATAAATATAAATAAAATGATGTTTTTAATATCGTCACACATAAAAGCATTTTATTAGAAAACTGATAAGATCACCTGCAAAATGAAGCTTCCTCATTCAAGTGAATGAGTCAGGCATGAGTCTCAGTGTGAAGTACTTAAACATGTGAGAGATAAACTAAAACAGACAGTTTGGTTAATGTGGTGTGAGAGCAAGGAGTCGTGGTCACTGAATCATGTTACAAGTATGTGTGCTAAGTTTTCTATGTGCCACAATGAGCTACTTCTGCTTTTTATTTTTATTTTTTACTGTTCAGTTACCTTTCAGTGTTTACTGGTTTCAGTATTAGTTTTAGTTTTTATTATTTTTATTAAGTTTTATAATATAGTGAGCATTTGTCTGGTGCAAAAAAGTGATTACCGGCAACACATTGGGATATCTACAAGATGACAGCCTTTACAATCAGAATTTGCACCAAACTGACCACAATTAAAACTAAGAACATTTCTTGTCTGTTTTATTCCTGTTATTTATATATTTATCAAGTTTAATGAGTAAATTTAATGAGAAACACACAGAGGTCATTAGTGGAGACAATAATGGAGCTGATATCCAATTAGAATCATCTCTATTCAAAAATGTGCTCAGCTCATTTAAACCCACAACTGGTGTGGTCTTATACATCTCAAAGTCCCTGCACACTACAGCACATTAAGAAATATGTAAGATTGGAAGTAGATAAAAATTTAAGAGATCCTTGTGCTTGTGTCTGCAACAGAAGGTGCAGGTGACATATGGTGATAAGAAAAAAACAAACTAAACCAAAACAATGGTCCTTAAGGCCCAGCCAGCTTTAAAACACACTTGTATTTAGTATTTACAGATTCTGCCTGTTCGCCATTTATAATGTAAAGTGTGCGTGCTAGTCCCCATAGGGAAATAGTTCCTCTGCATTTAACCCATTCACCCAGTGAAGCAGTGGGCAGCCACCAATGCAGCGCCCGGGGAGCAGTGTGTAGGGACGGTACCTTGCTCAGGGGTACCTCAGAGTAGCCGTTCAGTGGAGTCGAACCCCTGACCTTCCGATCATGGGGCCACCACTCTACCTACTGAGCTATCCCTGCCCTAATGAGAGGGCAATGCACCTGTCTGTGCCTCCTGAGCACCAGTGGGACAAGATCTCTACCTTGGCCCTGTACGCTGTCTCATCACCATCATGACCCCAACCATGGTGATTGAGGCCACGAGGAAATCTTTGATCCAGATGCAGGTGTCAGGGAGGGATTTGAAGGTGGCGAAGATGTCTGAGATCATGGTGTTGAATGCTGAGCTGTAGTCCACGAAGAGAATCGCCACATTGCTCTTCCTGTTCTCCAGATGGGTCAGTGCTCCGTGTGGACTAATTTGCTCTGTAAGCAAACTGGTGGTGGTCAAGGGAGCGGGGTAGACAATGTCTGATGTGCTGAGAGACTATCCGCTCGAAACACTTAATGACTACAGATATGAGGGCTATAGGTGAGTAGTCACTGAGGCTGTCTGTACCAGTCTTTTGGGGGACGGGAATGATGGTGGAGGCCTTCAGACAGGTGGGAACGATGGCACGAGTCACTCTCAGTCTCCACCTCCTTGCTATAGACGTGTGCTTCA